TTAGATCTCTCACAGTCTTTCCTTTACATCACCACAGTACTTGTCAATGTGTGATTTCGCACAGCAGATGTCAAAGTGACATTCCAGTCGTGACACCTCATGACATGCTGTAACCTTCATCAGCTTTCTCTCTCTCTCTCTCTCTCTCTCTCTCTCTCTCTCTCTCTCTCTCTGTGTGTGTGTGTGTGTGTGTGTGTTTCCAAACCTTATCTTACAGGATCAACCTGAATAGTGTTAACAAAAGACTTGTGTGACAAATACAATTTTCTTCTTTCATTGTAGCATTTTTTAAAATTAAGTGTAGATTTTCTCTTTTTAGTAATTTAATTTTATGTAAAGATGTTGCTTCATTCAAATGTTGAAAAGGCAAAAGCTTTTTTATGTCCCAGTGTTTCTTATTCTTTTAGCAAATATTTGGTCAAATCAATTGATTATTAATGTTATTTAATATAGAATATTACATTAAATATTTTATATATATGGATAAATATATATATAATATATATATATATATATATATATATTACAAGTTATGAAAATGTATTTACAATGGAACAGCAATTAAAAATTATTACAACTCAAATGTTCTGAATTTCCGTATTAAACTGCAAATATGAAACGTATGCATGAGTCAGAATTTTTAATTAAATAACGTCCCTTTGTTTAAAAACACATTTTTAATATATATATATATATTCAGGACATTGCAGTGCATTCACTGTTATAATTAACAATTACAACAATTATAACAGTTAAGTATCCTAATTTCTGTTTGTCAGAAAATTCTATTTTTTAAACCAGCTAGTCTACATTTTAAACCACACTTTTTATGGAATTTAAATTATTTGAGATCATGTTGGTGGTAAAAAATATATAATATAATATACTATAATATAAAAAGGAAATGTGAATTGGGTGCATTTATTATTCTGATTTAAATGACACCTGTTGTGAGGCTCATGGACCTAATTTAATTAAATTTTGTTTTGATGTATTACTTCTACTCCATTCTCTTTTAATTTGTTGCAATCACAATTGAACACTTAAAAGGAAGAAAACAAAATGAGCGAACTTCATGTTGTTAATCCAATGCCACATGCCCAGCGAGAACACATTTAATGCCTGTTGATTTACAACCAAGTCGTCCTCACCCTGCAGGATGTGGCATTAAGTAAATATATGACCTGATCTTCATTTCCTTGTGTCTATGCAAATGTCAGCCCTGTGGCATTCATTTGTATACCTAAGACTACTATCACAAATATTCTCAGGTAATTGCCTATTAGAGCTGTTGACAGCAGTGTGGGAAACAGGGCCGAGCTACGGTTGTTAAAACGGATTGTATGCAAATATAGCCCAGAGACGGGAACGAATAGTCCTTTTTTTTCTTCGCACAAAGGTGTTAATAGTCTCTAAAGAAAAAAGGAAAAGCTACATTAATACATCTGCACTGACTTCTGGGGGAAAGCTGCATAATGCAACATATTTGTTTACTCTGGCGAGTGTTTGCCTTCACTGAGGTCATACTTTCACACTGTTTTTATTCATTGGCTCTACTACGACACATCCGCCTCATTTTAATTCTATTTCGACTTTTACCATTTATTTTGACCGCTATTGTTTAACGTAGGCCGCACGAGACCGAGGCGGAAGGCAGACGTGCTCAAGTTCAGTTGTCTCTCCGTGGGGAAGAGGGCCATTAGATGTGGACATATTTGGTATTTGGAGCAGTTGTACTGTCGACAACGCGATATGTTGGCTATTTTAACGAACGTAAAATACAAAGAGTTACTTACACACAGACGGACGGCTTCCGCTAAAGGTTAACAGAGAGAGAAAGACGGCCGTAATAAGCCTAAAAGACTGCCGTTATTAGCCAAAACTAACGTTGCGCCGGTGTTGAGAAGATTATAATTACCCGCTGAACATGGCGACCGAGGTAGGTTTCCATCTTTTCAAGCTGAGAGTATTCATTTTGTATATTGTTTTATAAATGTAGAGACGCAGGGTGCAGTCCGTTTTAATAAGGTAAAGGACCGGCCACGCGGAGGGGTTTTGGTGTGCTCCCCCATAGCTGCGTTACACGGATAACTTAACTCCCCTGGTCAAAACCTTTATATCATATATTTATTGGTGTTTAGATAGTTCTGAAATAAACAAAACAGCCAATTTTCAACGATAGGACATGCCCTGTGCTTAAAGCCTGGATTTTGGTGACATTTTACTTCTTTAGTTTCCAGGCCTCATTTCACAGCCACAGCCTGTTTTTAGCTGTAGGACATTTAGGATATTCTTAACAGGCAGCCATAGCATACATGACAAAATGGTGTAGTGGGTAAAACTGCACCAAGCACTCTCTCTCTCTCTCTTTTTTATTTTTTTATTTTTATCTATGTTTTGTTGTTTAATAACCATCAAAATTACAGTTTTTAGGGTTTTTCTTTTGTCTTGTGTTTTTGGCAGTTGCTGCTGCTCCAAGCTTGGCCTTGTTAACGAAACCTGAGGTGTTTTTTTGCGTTTCTCTCCTGCTCTCTGAGTTTTACCCTGTCGGACAGGAGGGGAGATTGTCTTGCCCGGCCTAGCGAACAAAGGTCGTCGGTTTTTTTTCTGAGAGACAGAGTGTGGCACGCAGAGATAAGATGAGCCCTCGCTCAAATTATTGCCGAGCAGACACCTAAAGAGTCCAGTGGCCAAGGCCCCAACTAACTGCCACCCGTCGTTCTGCCCCCGAAGAACTCTGGGCAAACAGGAGAAACCGTCTCTAATGAGCTGAAGGAAATGTGGGTTTGAAAATGTCCAAAAAAATAAATAAGAAATGGACGTATTAAATAGTAGGGTGCCACACAGCCTCATTTCTTGGCCAAAATCATAAAAGATCTTGAACTGCAAATTGTGCACAGACCTCAATGCCTGTGTTATGCTGTTGTGTATAATTTTGTGTTTGGTCCAGTTTATGATCATAATAGTCCTGGCAGTGGATTTAACTAAGTGATTTCAAAAAGGGATTTTTTTTTCTACACATTTCATACAAATAGCAATAATAATTATTATTCTATAGTATTATAATAGGTTTCTGTCTGTTTTCCATCCTCTGTTGTATAAAGAGTCAAGAAGAGTTATGCTACTGAAAATATGTTGCAGGGAAGGAACGACAATGTGTTGCTAGTTTGAACAGACAAAGGAGAGGTTTGGATTTCCCTGATAGTGATCTCGGTTATTATCATTTTGCCTGTCAGTAATGGCATGATGATATTACAGGAAGTGACTGTAATACTTGGCACATATCACTCCCTTTTCTTAGTCTGCGGCCCATTTATCAAAAAGTCTAGATCCCTTCAGTCTTTTCAAATACGCGACAAACGCATTGTTCTTCAAAAACAAACATGCGCAGCCTCTTTAATTCCATCTCCTCATGTTCCTTTTGCCCATATTTTTTTTTCTTCTTCTTGCCTCCGCCATCTTCTCTCATTCCCACATTTTTCACGTGTTCGGTTGCGGCTGTGGGAGGCAGGCGTATGTTAGCATGAACAATCGGCACCCGGCCCGGCTCGGCCAGGTCCAGATGGGGCTGCGTGCCCCCCCCCCCAGCTCTCCAGTCAGGCAGCCAGCTAACCGGCTAGCTACCCACCCGGTTAGCCAACCAGTCATTCACCCAGCCAGTCACGTAGCCTTGCAGCCAACCGAACAGCCAGCTTGCCAGCCAGTCAGTGGACCGGCCAGTCATCCAGGCTGCGGCTCCTCTGTCAGACACTGACAGAGGGAGCAGGCCAGGCTAAATCTGATGGTCCTGGGAGCCAACCAGAGGACTCTGGCCTTTGTAGGGTGTTCACACAGACAGCCTGTTCCGTTGCACAGCGGGGGGCCTCCACCCACAATCAAATGTCCGGGCCCTCAACTTTGCCACATGACAAGTTAGCTTTTTGTGGCTGCCCATTGCCGAGATTCCAGTTTTGACAATGTCTCTATATTTCCTATGAGCCCTGTGGACTTATTTGGACAGCATAGATGAGCAATCTTTTTTTTTTTTTGGGGGGGGGTATTTGGAAGTATGACATTTAAATGCACTTCTAATGAGAGGAGGGGTTCATACGTATTTCATACATGCATCAGATTATATTAAACTGATCCTGGGTGGGAGCCTTTGTCCCTCAGATATTTCTCCCATGGTGCAATGGGCACAGCTTGTCCCTCTGAGGTCATGTGGGTCAGCCAATGAGGATGAGACAATGCGCTTGCCAGGGCAGCAATACAGCCCTTTGCTCCCTCACTTTCCGCTGCTCAATCCCAATCATGTGCCATTGTGTACTTTATAATGCAACGCAATGAAAATATGGGCAATTTACCGCCTGCAGGAGGAAACTATAATTCTTTTTGGCTTTTCCAAAGACCAGTGTATCCGAATTTGAAAGCATTAGGCAAAGCTTTGTGAATTACAGGGAAGCGGTATAGCCTGTTTTAGATGGTTTTAATATCCGCTTGCCTCGCCTTGTTAAACAGCTTAACATATATAGGCTTCTTACATGAAGCTGTCCACCACAGCATATTCAGCCGTCATTGTCCACTGAATCACACACAAATGGGATTTGGTAACAGAAACTTTTAATGTGTTTCTGTGTCTGTGCTGTTGGGGCGTTTAAAGTGGAGTAACAAAACAAAAAACAAAAAGAGAGGGGGAGAAGGGGCCAGTTTGGATGTGAGAGTGCATTTTGAAACAGGAGAGCATGTTTTTGGATGGTATTTTTTGGTGGAGGGGGTGGGCATTTTCTTCCCCCTCCTCTCTTTGTTTGTGTGGTAAATCCAGGAGCAGCTGCTGGTCTCAGGGTCTAGTGGGATTTTGGGCCTGTGTTTTCTCATGCCATCCCATGCCAAGGTGGTGTAACGCGAGCAGAGAGAGAGAGAGAGGGGTGTTTCTGGAGGGGGTGGGGCTGGGTGGGGGTGCAGTTGGAGAGCGAGCTGGTTTGTTGGGATGGTTGTGACCATGCTGGTGACGAAGGCGATGAGGGTGGGAGGGGGGGGGGGACTTTAGAAGGCAGGCGCTGTCTGGATTGGATGCATGTAAAATTAATATCCTCTGGACTTTGCCTTTGCACTAGATTGGAACTTGTCTGTTTGGCTAATGACGTGCCTTCTGCCTGCACCACACACAGTCCCCGTCTCTCCCCCTCCCTCTCTTCTCTTTCTCTCTCTCTCGCTCGCTCGCTCTCTCTCTCTCTCCACTACCAGCCACCAACCATCCAACCCCACCACCCCCCCCACCGCTTTGCTTCTCCCTCTGCCATCCCTCTTTACCCTCCCTTTCAGCGCTGGGAGCGTGCGTATTGGCTGGGCTGTTTGAGCTTCGGTGCCAAATAGGTGGGCCCTCTGCATGTTGGCACAGACTCAGTCAATGGTTAGAGAAGGAAAGTGGAGAGGAAGAGAGAGACAGAGTTGGAGAGAAAGAGGGGGAAAAAAGAAGCTGCACTCGGGTTTGCCAGCGGTCGTGCACACTCTTCCAACATTGATTCGGTCCTCTTGTTTTGTTTTCCTTTTTTCTTCTTCTTCTTCTTCTTCTTCTTCTTCTTCTTCTTCTTCTCCTCCATCCGCACCCCCCTTGTCCAGCTCTCTCTCTCTCTCGCTCTCTCTCCGTGAGTCTCATGCAGATCCCACAGAATTGAACCAATAGCACGCGCCGCTTTGCCAAGCATTTTGCTGTTGTTGTTGTTTTTTTGTCAAGATCGTTTTTGCTACATATTTTTGCAAACAAAGAAGCTTGTTTAAGTTTTCGACAATTTTATCCTTTTTTGCTGCAATATCTGTTTTGTTTTGTTCGTGCAAGTCCAGCTCTATTTTAATTTTTTTATTTTTTTTAGCTCCTTTCAGACAGAGCGATTGCTGAACTTCTCTCCACTCTCCTTCTGTTGTGCTCTTGAACAGCACCTCTCCTGCTACAGTACCTCCTGTGTTCCTGTGCTGCTATTACACTGCGCCCCCTTGGTCTGCCTCCTCTTTCTCTGCCTCCCCCCCCACCCGCTGCTTTTATTGGACAGTTTCTCAACTTCTTATTTTGCTTCTTTTTTTTTTTCACTCAGTCTTTTGTTTTCTAATATACGCAGCATTACTTCAGCACATTTTGATTGAGCAATCCAGTTGTTTGTCCTCCCATTTTAAGTTTCTTTGCAATCGGCGGGTGAATTTATGATGAGAGAGCAAAATGGTAACTACCATGTTATTCTTGTTTTATTCACATATGTTTTGTGATAGCGACTGTTATGACATTATTTTGAGTGCGGATGTAGTTATGTTTTTTATGGACAAATATTCTATGTTTAATTCTAATACTTAGAATTTGGTGTGAGTTCTCTCAAATTATTTTAAATTATTTTTATTGTAAATTATAGTTTATGTTGTCAGTCAGCATTAAAAAAATGGATGTAGATATATAACATCATTTTTTAGAATTCATGTTTTCTAGATTTTTTTTGTGGTTGTTTTGTTATCGATAAATTCAAGTTTGGCAATATTTATATCTATAACTAACACGTTTGATAATATGTATTTATTTAGGCAGGCACATAAATGTTGAAACAAATATTATTGAAAGAAAACAGTAGAATCCGGTTCTCATCTTTTACCTCTCATTCATTCAGTGTTGTGTTGTTCAGTGTTGTGTAAAGTGTGTCCTTCAGTGTGATGCATCTGTGTTAGGTAGAGAGTGTAAAGCATCTCGCTCTCTCTCTCTCTCTCTCGCTCTCTCTCTCTCTCGCTCTCTCTCTCTCTCTCTCTCGGCACCACTCGCTCATTCTCTCCCTCCGCTCACACAGAGCAGGCGCCGCTCCTCCATGCTGCGTGCCGGTGCTAACTGCCTCTCTTCTCTCTTCCCTTCCTCACCCCCACTCCCTCTCTCCCCATCCTTCTCTCCCCCATTCTCCCCCTCCCTCTCCACTGCCTCCTCCTGCTTCCCCCCCTCCTCCCTCTCCTCCTCCACCCTCCCCCCTTCCTCCTCCCTCATCCAGGATGAATTCCACCCCTTCATCGAGGCCCTGCTGCCCCATGTCCGCGCCTTCGCCTACACCTGGTTCAACCTGCAGGCCCGCAAGCGCAAGTACTTCAAGAAGCACGAGAAGCGCATGTCCAAGGAGGAAGAGCGCGCGGTGAAGGACGAGCTGCTGGGGGAGAAGCCGGAGATCAAGCAGAAGTGGGCCTCGCGCCTGCTGGCCAAGCTCCGCAAGGACATCCGGCCCGAGTTCCGCGAGGACTTTGTGCTCAGCATCACGGGGAAAAAGGCCCCCAGCTGCGTGCTGTCCAACCCCGACCAGAAGGGCAAGATCCGTCGCATCGACTGCCTGCGCCAGGCCGACAAGGTGTGGCGGCTGGACCTGGTGATGGTCATCCTGTTCAAGGGCAGCCCCCTGGAGAGCACGGACGGGGAGCGGCTGGTCAAGTCGCCACAGTGCACCAACCCTGGCCTGTGCGTGCAGCCGCACCACATCGGAGTGTCCGTCAAGGAGCTGGACCTCTACCTGGCCTACTTCGTCCACTCGCCAGGTACGTGGCCAACTGGATACTACACACTGTTAAGGAGCGATGCCAACACATAACTCGCCATACATGCCCGTGTGCATGTGCATATGGATGTACACACACAGAAACATACTTAGCACAGAAACACTGTGACACATTATTAAACAGAGAGGGAATGACAGAAATAATAATTCATAAAGATAGGTCTCAGTGTAAAGATGCACGCAATAAGTTTCAGAAACACACGAAAAAGGGGTTGAAAATTGAGGAAATAATTAATATTATAATTAAGCTATCTAATATTATTTTATGGATATTTTGAATTTAGTGAGTTTTTTTAAAAAAAAACATTATTTTAAATGAATAAAACAAACATTTACCTTTGGGAAACAAAATAAGTATTCCTTCTTGCTTTTGTTCTCTTTGGAAACGGCAAGTCATTTTGGTTTTTGTCTTTTGCGTATTTTTCCTTTTCTTCTGTTTCTTGGTGTTTGTTTACGTGACAACATAGTATCAGCAATAATAAAAAGAATATGTGAGTGTGTGTCAAGGGCATTCGGCCAGCGTGCTCTGGCAAGTACGAGTTCATTTTTCTGAGCGAGGCATTTGCGGCTTCATATGATCATGTATTTGGTGTTGTTTTATAGGAAGGAATTTGCATTCCCGTGTGTGTGTGTGTGTGTGTGTGTGTGTGAGAGCGAGAGAGTGTTTTTTAATGAGATGGTCACCACTGTCAAATTGTGTGTTTTTGTGCGATGAGTGAGAGTTGCTGTTTATAAGATTGTACTCAGTCTGTCGAAGTGTATGTGCCACGATAAGGCCATTGTAGCCAGGGATCGTCATTTGGCCCCAGCCCAGGTTGTGTGTGTGTGTGTGTGTGTGTGTGTGTGTGTGTGAGAGAGAGAGAGAGAACGAGCGGAGCCGTGAGTCTCCTGCTTTCAGGCCGCAGGCTGCTGCCGCCTTCACCGTCTGCCTGAACGCTAGCACCACGCTGGACCTGACTGCCAAACACACACTCACACACACACACACACACACACACACACACACAGAAAACGCCACTGCTCACAGACAGCCAGTACTATTGCAGCCACCTTCACACCCAGACACACACACACACACACACACACACAAACACAGCTAAATAAAGACGCACACATTTGATATAAAAAAAAGATGAAAAAACAACTTCTCTTTGTAGCGCACTTTCACACATAATGCCAAACACGGTTTTAGTCACGATTGCGTACACACACCCACGCGGCGCGCACACCAGGCCAAGGACTACCATAGATACAGTGTGATACAGCCAAACATTGTTGTATCTCAGCCACCATCGTGGATACACACACTCGCACTCGGCCAAACATCACTGTAGCCTCCAGTGCGCGTACTCTACACACAGCCAAAACACTGGCTGTGTTATTTTATCCCCCCGCATTGCAAAAAACACTGTCACAGCAACCACACACACACACACACACACACACGAAACACATTTCACAGCCAAATCCTCCAAATACGCACTACTTCACCATTTGCTGGCTACGTATACATACAAACACACGCTCATGACCTAATATTATCTCAGCTGGAATTTTCTGGAAATTTCAAACAGTGACTCAACCAGCCACACACACACACACAACCAGGCACACATAAATATATATATGTATACAGCATATCCCAGTCACTGCCCAAATACACACACTCACTCTGCCTAGGCATAACTGGTAGCCGCTAATATGAGTGTAGCCAAATGCTATCTCCCGCTCTCTCTCTCTCTCGACACATACCAAAATCTCGTCCAGGCCAAACACCTCACGCGGCCCGAGCCAAACCCTGGCAGCAGCTCCAGCTTGGCGGTCTGTCTGTGGCGGTGATAAACCGGAGGTAGCGGGCAGTCCTGATGTTGATGAAATCTGAGTTCATGTTTTAGTGGCATTCTTTTTTTTTTCTGAAAAAAAAATCCTCTGAAATAATATTGTTTGATTTTATTTATTTATTTATTTTTTCACTGACTTAGTTATTGCACTATAACTGAGACAGTGCTGCAAAAAAAAAAGTTATTGTGGATTTTGGGTCAGTGGTGTTTTGCGACTTAGTTACATATCTGCAGAGTCAGTTTTGGATCAGTTTATTATGAAATGTGCAGCGCTGTTAAACGCTGTTTGTCTTGTAAATCATACTCTCAGACTACAATGAATTATAGTATTATGTTTGTTTAATTTTAGCTCAAGAAAAAAATATGAAATAATTGGCCCACACCTAATCTAGAAAGACTTTGCCTCACCATTGCATTTTTAGTTTTGGAAGGGAAATTATTATGAAAGTGTTTTTATATATTTTTCATATATAATCAAAACAAATATAGATTTAAGTTTCTTCAGACCTGCCAAATTTAAAAAACTTATTGGGAGGGCAAAATCGATCTCTGACGCAGAAACAAAACGCAGTCCACTTAAGAGATGAAAATATTATTATTATTATACTACATATATATATATAGCACTATAATTAACACGAAGACTTTTATCTGAATATAAACTAGTGAGTGATGGTGGCTGTATATGAATGAGGGAGGATATTGAAATCTCATATTTAAAAATGTTCACACATACAGTGAAACTAAACACACACAACCTGTGAACGTCTCATGACTGCTTTTCTCGACCTCTTCAGCTTTCAGTCGGCCGCTGCTCTACTTTGGTTTACAGCAGTACAGTAAAACCCATGGCTGCTGGGAGGGGCTGCCCAGTGCGCTGCCCATTCATAATATGGACTTAATGTGTGCTCTCTCTTATCTTATCTGGCGAACACTGAGTGCCTCTGCACTTTTATCTGCCTCCAAAAGAGCTCCTGCTCAGTTGAAGTCCTGGTTGGAGGGACACTTTGGGGACAAACCACCTTCTGCAAACCTGTCATAACACGTCATTCACTTATTACATGTCGAAGCATTATTTGTCAGCATACGCACATTAAGGGCTTTTTTATTTATCTGTTACAGTGATGAGTGGTTACATCTTTTTTCCTCCTCAGCCGCGCAGTGAATGACAAGATGTGCCCATTGTTTGTTTTTGTTTGGTTTGCGTTTTTGTCGGTCTTTAGCATCTCTGTCTTCCTCGCTCCTCTTTGATCCCGTGCACACTTTTGTTTTGTCTCCTTAAACATCGCCCCCATTGTTGCTCTCACAGAGGTAAAGCCTCTGCTGATCTCTTTTGTTTATATTGTAGGAGACACAGGGAGAGAGGGAGAGAGAGAGAGAGAGAGAGAGAGCGCGTTGGAAAGCAGAAGAGGCTGCGATAGTGATTGTTCTGTTTGGCAGCGCCCAAGCCCCGTTGGTGTGGGAAGAAGAGAAAGACGTCTTGTGTTTTGTTTATGACAGAGTGGCAAAAGCTGCCACGGGGAATCTCTGGGCTTGCCGTCAGGCTTTCTCAGGCTGTTCTGCAGCCAGCCAGCCTTTGAGATCCCCTCTGTTACTGCGCATAACACGCTGCAGCCGTAACAGAGCAAATCACGCCGCCACAGTACAGAACCATCTCCCCCTGTTTTTCAGCCACCTCAGATAAAGGGCAGCAAACCAGACAGAGCAACGTGTCTTTGAACATTGCAGCTGAAATACTGCCAGAGAGTAGAGACGAGGGGAGGAGTGGTGCAGCAAAGTGAGCGGTGCATTATTTTTAGTGTTTTATTAAGAGTGATTGACTGGTATCATAATGGAGATAGTGGTCTGGAAAGAGCCAAAGGTCTGCCAGCATACTGGCAGGGTCGCTTTGATAACCCATGAATGGAGTGTGTTGGACGGGCTTCGTTCACAGTACTGGTTGATGTATAATTCTCACTTCTGTTAAGTCCTCATAGGTGGGTCCACTTGTTCTCCATCTGAGGAGAAATCATTCAGCTGCTTCTCATAGTGTTCAGTGAGCTATTTGATTTATAACCTGTGTGCTATTTTAGCTTCAACTCAGCACATTTCTGATTTATTCAAGGTTGGAAAAATAGAAGATTAATAAAAGAAGAAGAAGAAAAACCCCATTTGTCAGGTCCAAAGTTAGCTCAGTGCACTTAGTCATATTTTGGACCTCGTTCTTGCTGCTTTCTCTTTGCTGCTTTTTTTTTTTTAACTTTTCTTTCTTTTGTGCGCGGTAAGTGTGATCATGAAAAGATGTTTCAAATGTGTTTCCAATCAAAAGTGCAGTACAGGAAATTTGCAGTCACTCCGAGGGAGGTGTGAAATGTGCTCGCCGTGCCATTTCTGCCATGACCGCTCCACGCTTTACGGTGCCAGATCCCGCCTCCCTCTCGCTATAGCAATAGTCATGTCTTGGACGGCTCTGTGAGAAAGCCCAGAGAAAGTCCTAGCGCTACGGCCAGCACCCCACCCCCCACACACCCACACACCCACACTCACTGACCACAGGAAGGATTCACTAATGAAAACCCCACTTTTGTTCATCGCTGAGGAAAACTCCTGGCGTTTTTCTGGATTTATGGGAGGAAAGAGCAGAAATGTGGGCGAAGGAGGGAGAAACAGAGAAAAAGAGAGGCACCCTGACAGTCGTGGCTGACATGATGAATGGCTCGCAACGTGTTCAAAAGTTGACAGGATACACTGATGGGTTCCACAGGTTCCCACTGCTCCGTGGCTCAGTGTTTCTTTCTTTTTCCTCTGTGAAAATAATCTGTTCTTAATTATTTCCTGGATCTCTTCTCCAGCTCCCATGACATCACTAGGGTTGAGTGGACTGTCCTTGTGCATAAGTGTTTTTGTGTGTGTGTGTGTGTGTGTGTGTGTGTGTGTGTGTGTGTGTGTGT